CCACTGGTAAATCTAAGCAAACCGCTGACCTTGCACGAAAAGCACAGCTGTCGCACCCGCCATGACTTTCTATGCCTGCTGGGGGTGGAGGGACATCCTGCTACTGTAAATCAATGGATGGACGGTTTACAAGGAGGAAAGGTAGACTCTGTACTTTGAAGCCATGCATTGCACACCAGGTGAAACGTCAACAGGGGCACATGATGGGTGATGATGAGGAGGCTTCAAGCCTGCCAAAGTGCAGGGAAAGTACTGACTATCATGCGGCAACCACAGCGCCACACTCGACGATGAAGATTACCAAGCCCAGCTCTGTTTTGCAAATAATGCCTGTTTGCGTGCCTGCCTGCTTGCGTGCCTGCCTGCTGCGTGCCTGCCTTCCTGCCTGCCTGCCGCCTGCCCGCCTGCCTGCCTGCCTGCCTGCCTGCCTGCCTGCCTGCTGCTTGTTGCTTGCCTGCCTGCCTGCCTGCCTGCCTGCCTATTGATTGCCTGCTGCTTGACCTGCCCTGATCACGTGGCAATGTTGTCTTGGGTCAGCTCGATCCACGAGGCTGGGAAGAGCGATCGTGCAACCCGGTGCCCAGCAGGGCATGTCGGGCGTGCAACACCACAAGACCTACACCACCGTTATCTCCGGCATGGCGCTGCTAACTGCTGCCAGGCGTACAAGCGCGCTTCTTATCAGGTGAGGACACTGCTGCTCTGTCAGGGGCCGCCGCCGCTGCTGGTGCCACCAACGGGTGCTTGCGGGGTCGTCCCCGCTTCCTGCTTGGGGCCTCGTCGGCCCCTCCCGCAAGCTGCGGCTGCACCTGCTGCTGCTGCAGGGGCGATCGCAGCTGGCCTGGCTGCTGGTCCTGCTGCTGGTCCTCCTGCAGAACACCGGGGCCCTGCGGCGGTGACGGCCACTGGCCCTGGCCCTGTTGCGGCGCCGGCGGCGGCTGCGCCTCTGGTAGTGGGTGCTTGCGCGGCCGGCCGCGCTTTCGCTTGACTGGAGCGGCGTCACCACCCGCTGCCTGCTGCTCTTGCTTGACCGCCTCTGCCTGCTGCTCCTGCTCCGCTGCACCACCCTTGCTGTTCCGCTGCGGCTTGCTGCCGGAGAGGCTCCCCCCACGGCCGCGAACACGGCCGCGGCCTGCGCGGCCACGTCCAGGCCCACAGCCGCGGCCGCCGCTCCCTGCGACTTCTTCAGGAGAGCCGTCCTCAGTGCTGTCGCCCTCCTCGTCGCCACCCGCATCCTCCTCACTGCCACTGGCCCCGCCATCAATGGGACCACGACCCCTGCCGCGCCCCCTGCCGCGTCCCCGGCCGCGGCCTCTGCCAGCCCCTGGTGTGCCCTTTTTGGTCTTGGCCTTGACAAACAGCAGCCCCTCCGCGTCGCCGCTCTCCCCCTGGCGCGCTGCGAGCCAGTCGTCCCAGCCGGGGTGCTGCGCCTCAAACGAGGCAGTGGACAGCTGCATCAGGCTCAGCAGCGACACGCGGGCCTGCGGGAGCCGACGTGCGGTGCTTCCTTGAGCCCTTCACAGCCTGGAGACTCCAGAGCAAAATTCTGGACGGAAGGAGCGCCCATCCCACCGGCATGACTCGTGGCGAGCGCAGTTCAGCCCCACCCAGCCTCTAACCAACCAGATCGCTCACCCCCGGGTCAGCCCCCAGCACATACTGCCGCCGCAGAGTCATCAGCCGCCACTGTGCCTCCGTGGCGTTGAAGAAGCCCATCAGTGTGGACACACGCTTGCTGGCCAGTGCCTCATACGCGCTGATAGGGTCGTTCATGAAATGAAGTAAAGGGAACGGCGTGGTGAGGGGACGATGCGTGCTGGGTGGATTTGGCGGTGCGCAGCTCATCCAGGTCAGCAATAAGGGCGGAGATTGGGAAGTGGCAAGCTGCTGTCATGAGCAGCTGCGAAAACCGAAACCGCCATGTTAGCTGCTCGGAGAGCAGAAACTACTTGGGCCTGCAACAGGTGGAAATCTGGTGCCCGCACCTCCCAGCCACCCACCCCACCCCCTCACCCTGGCGTGTCCTCCATCCAAGCGTCCAGCTGCGCCCACCGCTCCGCGACCGCGCCCGGGCTCTTGACCAGCAGCTGTGGGTGGGCCAGCAGGAACGCCGCCGAAAGCGACACCGCACGATCGGGGGGCAGGGGCCCTTCCGGCAGGAGGGACGAGGCCGGGGCTGCTGCATGCGCAGGCACCACACCTGCGGCTTGCTGGCCCTGCTGCTGCTGTTGCTGCTGCTCCTGCTGCTGCTCCTGCTGCTGCTCCTGCTGCTGCTGCTGCTGCTGCTGCTGCTGCTGCTGCTGCTGCTGCTGCTGCTGCTGCTGCTGCTCCTGCTGCTCCTGCTGCTGCTCCTGCTCCTGCTCCTGCTGCTGCTGCTGCTGCTGCTGCTGTTCTGCCATTGCTGAAGGCAGCCCAACTACTGCAGCTGCAGCTGCGGCAGCCCCCGCCTCCAGCGTGGCCGCCCCCTGTACCACCAGCCGCGTGAACCGCCCCGAGGGCCAGCCGCCCAGGGCCTGGCGCACCACGCGTGGCAGCTCCACCAGCCTGGCGCTGCTCATGGTGAGGACCGTGGGGAAGTAGCTCACGGCGGCGCCCAGGCGGCGCTTGCTGCAGCGCAGCTCCGACCCCAGGGCGGCCAGCTTCTCCTGGAGGGGAGGATCGCGACGTGGCGCCATGTGTGGAGTGTGGCCACTTGGCAACAGGTCCACGGAAAGTGCCTTGTATGGATTGACGGTGCTATTGCCAACCCCACGTGCTTGCATCAATGCAGGTCCCAGTGTCAGATCAGGGTTCAACACCCATACGCCCCGCTTGGCCCTCGGCCCCCACCCTCCCACCCCCTCAATGTGGGGCGCACCTCCACCTTCTTGCGTGTTGCCAGCTGTGGGCACTTGTCGAGCGCCTCGTACACCGCGTCAGGCAGCATGTAGGCCGGGGCCAGCAGAGACACCAGGGCCTGCAGGGGGCGGAGGTAGCCGCCATCGCCGCACCAAATCAGGTGGGTCAGTGGCACTGCGGTTGTGCAGCAACGCAGGAGTGTGGTACCAGTAGCACGCATCAGGGAGCGTGCTCAGCACGTCAGCTGAGATTGGCTCCTGCACGCACACCTGCGGCGCCGATGCCACCCGCCCTACGAC